GTAGTAGTAGGTAGTAGTAGGTAGTAGTAGGTAGTAGTAGGTAGTAGTAGGTAGTAGTAGGTAGTAGTAGGTAGTAGTAGTAGTAGTAGTACTAGTACTAGTACTAGTAGTAGTAGTAGTAGGTAGTATGTAGTATGTAGTATGTAGTATGTAGTATGTAGTAGTAGAAGTAGTAGTAGTAGTATTAGTAGTATTAGCTGTCGAAAGAGTCCGTAACACGGAAGTTTTGCACCCTAAACTTCCTTTGACAATGTAAGCAGGCCAGTGGAATTGCGAACGCCAAAAGCACCAGTAAAGGCACCTGATGTATGACGACCACGTCTTTCCGAGGCGGCCTTGGTTGTTACCGCATGTGGTACATGGGTGTTGTCCTGCAAATGTTTTGAATTGATTTTTGCGGCCTTGAAAAGAACTAAAAACGAATGTATGCAAGTTTGTGTGTCTCAATTTTCCAGCAAAACACGCCAAACTTTGGCTTTATCGCTGTGGTGGTGAACACTCACCCCTAAAAGACAGGCACTTCGAGACACTCTGGAATGGTCTATGCCACATGGTCGAAAACAAACACAAAGGCCAGAAGATGCGCACGCCATTTGATGTATAGGCGGGGAAGCGACATATACTTGTCGGCCTGACTGACTTACCTGAGAAGGGAGGGGGGGCGAAAGGCCACCGTGGAAGATATCAATAAGGTCGTAGGGGGGGTGAGTGCGAGATCCCTCTTTTCCTATCACATCCTCCCCCGCTACGCCTATCCTGCGCATGAACTCCCACTCCATACGCGGGGCCCTTTTGCATCTGGTCAACAGGCCTCTTCACCATAAAAAAGGGCACCCCCAAGCAGCTCAAAGCTTGCCCGCTGCATTCTGTTCCCTCCCTGTTCTCAATGGACCACCTCCTCCGCTATGCCTGTCTCATCCGCATGAACTCCCACCCCATACGCGGCGCCCTTTTGAGTCTGGCTACCAGGCCTCTTCACCGTTTAAAAAGGGCACCCCCAAGTTCAAAGCTTGCCCGCCGCATTCTGTTCTCTCTCCTGCCCTCCGCATCATTACATGAGCTCGCACCCTGTATATATGGGGTGCCCTTTTCCGTATGGTTGACAGGCTCCACCTCCTACTTTGCATCATCGCGGGATTCCGAAGTCCTCCGTACAGACCAGCTCTACGACGACGTCTTTCACCATTTAAAACGGGCGCCTCCAAGCAACTCCAAGATGTCTTGCAAACCCTCTTTTCCTACCCGCCCTCCTCCACTATGTCTGTCACCCACCTTCCCCACAGCATTATGTTCCCTCTCCTGCCCTCACAGATCACACAGTGTCCCAAGAGACACACACCTCCACGCATACGAGGAGATGCACATCTCCCTGTCCTGGAGGATCCCGCTTCTGGGACATCAATTCCAAAGGACTACGCGAGTTGCTCATCAGCACCCAGGACATTTCAGGAGTTGCCGGAATCATGCTCATGAGAAGGGGGCTTGCGATTCGGGCGTGGGCAAAAGATGTAGCCACTGTCAGGAAGAAGATTTTGCCCTCTGATCCTCGCTTGACGGATACGAACCTCAGCGTTGTGCCAAGGGTGACTCAGCAGGGTGGCCGCCCGGTCCAGTCCGGCAGACATCGTTGAAGCGGTCAATAAAGCCGTCGGACTACCACCTGTGCCTACTCGCGCATTCACCCCTGGTAGAAGACGGTTTACATTGCCTCCTGAGCCCCCCCTCATGATGCTAATGATGCACTACTTGCATCACATCAAAACGCCCCAAAAACCACTCATGTTCACTACCTCCTGGCCACCTCTTTTCTTCGCTCTCCCCCACCAGGCTCTGGGTTAGCCCTCCGAAATTGGCCCGTGTGCGACCACCCCCCCCACACCCCCTTTACTCACTTCGTTCGCCCAACCCAACTTCAGCCTAGCCTATCGGCTGGCTTTCGTGATATCAAGAACTTATCAATCAACAGAATTCCAGAATTTCCTCGCAAAAGTGCGCCTCAGATCTGCAGTCTAGACACCATACCCTGGACCCAATATGGAGGTAAACCCTGAATCCAATCTCCGAATATTCAAGTCATGGCAGCCTGGCGTGCTAAGGTGAGAAAAGCATGTTCCCTGCAGAGTCCAACGTGTGCACTATTGCCATCATTGTCATCATGGCCCAGTATATCATGAAGAGCAAGTTACAAAAAGTTTGCAGGGAGTTCTTCCTAACCCCTCGATGGTTTGGGGGGGCTGGAACAACAGAAGGTTCGTTCTCCCTAGCTGCTGGTGGGAAAGCCAGGCGTTCCTTTGCTTAACCATTTGTTTCTTGTATATAAAAACCATGCTTCTAAGTGTAGCTTTTGCTTGAATCCTTGAGCTCATATTATGAATTGTCTTGAGTCTTGAGGGATGAAAACATTACAATTGAAGGTTTGGAGATTTGGCAAGAAAGATTCACCAATGAACCACTAAGCCTTGTTGATTTCCTTTGTTTCCCTTCCCGGACCTGACTTGGAAATGGAAGTCATTTAATGTCGTGTTGCTTCCTTTCAAAAAGCTATGCACAAAAATAAACTGTTCAGTTCAATTCTACTCAATGTCTTTGTTGCGTTTAAAAATACAAATCCTAGACTCCCTTGACGTGCTTGGGGGAGCTCACACTGTAGACTACAGGCTCTAGACTCTCCCCGAGTTGTTTGCTAGGGGGGAGGGTGTTCACAAATCAAGATCCCACATTAGTGACTTCCACAAAGTTGCTCGAGACACACTGTTTGTGAGGTCACAGACGGTTTGTCCATTGCTTGCTGCAGCTTTTTGTACTTGACACGAAAAAATAACTCCCATTCCAGTTGTGGCGGAGCCACACTATCATCTGAGCCACGCGATATGTTCTGCATGCAGTCCTGCTTGGCCAAAACATTCTTGGTTTTCAACTACGGAACAAACTCAAATTCTTGATGGACCCAGTGCACGCATGGGCTTTCGGAATGCAAAGTCCCTCACTTGTGGCGTCGAGAAAAGGCGTGCAACAGCGAAAACATCAGACTCAAGCTAGTACATGCTTAGCCAATGCCAGTATTTTTGCTTAGGTCTACACTGCGGCTGTAGGGCCGACGAATGAAAGGGCACCTTCAATGAGGCCTGGCTCAGCTCCAAAATCTTGCAGGGAATCCTTCAAAGAACACAGGACATGCCCCAAGGCCTGGTACACAGGCTGCCCAGCCTGCGAAGCCCACGGGCCAGGTACAGTCCCAAATGCTGAGGAATGCGGACCATGAGCAAAAGGGTTATTCTCTCCAGGCCATCTTGTAAAGCTGCCAGAGACCATGTTTTCGTCTTAGTCTTTGGGTTAGAGCAACGCTTGCAATCCTCATGTCAAAAAGGTTCAACTTGAGCACGGTTGAGTTGCAAAAATTACAGACTGTCAAAGTCTCCATAGACCATATAGCAGTCTAGCATTTTCCGAACTGATGTTTGCGCGACAAATCTAGACATGTCATGCAAGGCGGCGTTAGGGCTACTAGCATTACGCATCAAACTCTGTGTCATACAAAGCCAATGTTTGCACTCGGACATCACCGCACCAAACGAAATAGTTTAAATAGTTTCCAAACTTGTCCTGTTATTTGCGAAACAAACCGCCATGCTGTGCTGATTCTATTTCACTTCCAGGGATTCCAGGGGCAAAGCATTGGGCTGCAAGAAGTCGTCAAGTTGCGTTGCCATGAGAACGAGAACTGCATGTTCAAAGTGTGTTCCTAATGGCAGTAGGATCCAACACTTGTTCTCATCGACGACCTGAAAATTATGTAGCTAAGCCAATGGCGCAAACAACGCAGGCCTGATAACAACGAAGGTTCTCGCAAGTTGCCTCGGAAGGCCTAAGGCAGTTTCTCTTGTGCGTGTGCATCATATGTTTCAGGTCCTTCAATGCATTTGTTGGTTTTGATTCGAAAGCCGCCTACCGATGGATTGTTCCTCTTTGTTGCCTTGGAGCATTTTCAAGGTGTCCGGTCCTGAGGTTCGTGGACAAATGTACCCTTGATTGGTAGTGACCTACTAAGGTATTGTTTTTTGCATGTGTTGTTGTTATATGTGTCAAACACATATAGCCGCTCATTGTAGTTCTAAGGGTTTGAGTTGGGTCCTAAAAAGGAATGCAATTGGAACTCATACTGATGTTGCAGGATGAAAAGTTGATCGCTTCAAACTCAAGAAATGTGTTGTTCCAATCTGAGTCTCAAGGAAGGAAACATGGTGATGTTCAAACAACTTGTTAGAAAGACCTATGCTGCATCATTATTAGGGTTGGCAAAATCAACCACCTTCAAATTCCCTGTAAAGGTCGCAATGAACAGACACCCCCTTTGGCAGGGGAGAGCGGGCGATGTCAAAAAGAGAAAACACAGTCAGACAAGCAATAACCGTGGCGGAGGGTCACACAACCGCCAACCCAAACATGGTCACACAACCTTGAGGCTGGGCTCAGACACCTAAGTCTGAGAATCTCGGCCAAGCGCCTATGCGGCTATGCATAATCACGGACAGAATACTTTGCCAAATGCATTTGCTGCTGGCTCTGCCGGAACTCTTGATGATATTTCACTGAGATAAATAGATCGCAGCAAAATCATTTGCATGGTGCATTCGTAGTCTTGCACACATTTGAAACGTAAAGCTCACCCTACAAGGCGCCTGTCGTAGAGGCACCTCAGTGATCTCGAAAAGTCTCTCAGCTCCCGAGCTTGGAGAAAACATCGGGGCTTTGGCTGGTCCGTGCGCAAGGTGCACAGGCGGCTGGACAGGCGGTTGGACGGGCACAGGCTGTGGCACCTGTGGCACCTGTGGCACAGGCTGTGCCCGTGGCTGCACATGCTGCGCCTGGGTGAAACATCTTTTCAATAAAAACGTTGAGCACATTCCTGTGCACTGGGCCGTGCACCGCTTGTATCTGTGGCACAGAACTTTGATGAAGAAGAAGAGGGCCTGAGATAGGATTCCAAAAGGGTTACCCAAACGTTCCTGGAAAATAAAAAAAATTCAAAAGAAACGGATAAATATGCTATCAAAGGATGGTAAGCTTGTTTCATCTTGTGCTAAGAGCTCACCAAAACGGTGCTGAATACTGACCCAGTCCTCGCCCTTTAGTTTCCTTCCGGATATAAATACACAACAGACACAAGTGTTTCTCATGTCTTAACTTCCAGCGAGTCTAAAAGAATTGTTTGCTCATGCCTCAAGTGAAAGGGTACTTAGCTTCCAGCTAGCGCCTTTCATATTCCTTCATCCTCTGCACCCATGGGCAATGCAGCTGCTTGCCGACTGAAATGCACCATGTCTGAGAACACCTGATGCCGGGTGAGCTCAACTGAGGGGTTCCATTCGCGTCTCACATCTCCTGGACAACAAAAACAGTGCCACGTCAAGTGGGTCGAATTTTAGTCTTGTGTCATCCTGACTGCGAGGCTCGTTGTGCACTCATGGTGGAATCTATGCTTTGGAACTCAAACCTCAAAATTTTGAAGGTGTTTCTTGTGCATGAATGCCTACCTTGTTTCTCAAACAGCTACGGACGCGGAGCATACGGCAAAGCAAAGCATGTTAGATGCTTTGAAGAACAACTGTTGTGCAAATGCTCCAGTTTTGCACTTCTCATTCCTTCACTGCGGCTTGGCCGTGTGAAACCATCAACAGTGTACCGGATCAAGATCCGGAAGTTCAATGGACAAGCAGTCCAAGGGTTTCCATTTCGCACCTTCGTCCAACAAAGCAGTGACCTCACAAGGCTGCAGCAAATCGAGTCTACCTGTTGTCCCGGATCGAAGATGCAGAAGTCACTCGGTCTCTAGTCAAGGAAACTTTGAAGAGAAAGTTCAGAGTTAGGAATAGTTGCAGTTGGACAGTTGTCGTGTGCATTTTCGTGGTAGGTGTCTAAGCTGGTGAAGTCTGAAGGTGGTTTGACGTAAACGTGGCCCAATCCGTAATTACAAAAAAAATTCACCATAATCACTTAACACCTCACTAAATCAGAAGTCACAACGTTACGCTTCACCATATCACAGACCATCACTTTATGCTGCACCACACCACCAACCACCAAATTACACTTCACAAAACTACACTTCACCACATTGCAAATCACCACATTTCTTGACCACATCGCAACTTACCACCATTACACTTCACCTTATCACAAGCTGCAGCAACACAGTTCACCACATCACAAACCACCACATCGCAGGACCCTCATTACCAGGCAAGCCATCACCCATGTTCATCACACAAATCACATTCCCGTAGATTCTATTTTCAAACTTCCGCCCACCGGCTCTGCCGGAGATTACCCTCGTGTCGCATGATCGCTGGTAGGTTCCGGGCTTCTTCGTGGCGGGCCCAATTTGATTCAGCACAAGGCACCTTCTTGTAGATCTCTGGTAGTTCCTGCGCTCTCAGTGGCTGTGAGCGAAGTCGTCTAGAAGTGTTCTTCTTGATTGCACACTCAAGAAGCAAACTCATAGTGTCTGGGTTGGTTCACCGATCAAGCATCACTCTTGAGCCACACTCTAAGACGGAGCAAACTTGCGCAAGTGGACGTAAGATGCACAGAAACTCAAAACAGAACCCCCTTCACTACTACTCTTAGTGGCCACGTGGGCAAGGAGTGAACGGATGGCATGGTGCAAAGGTACTGACTATATATATATATATATATATATATACATGTATATGTTTTTTGAAAGCAGGCATGAACGCCAGCCGTCCACCGCAGGGGAACGTCATGTCGAGGCACGAGTTGGAAAATAGGCGCGCCCCTTCGCTGACGGTCGGAACCGTCCTGTGCGATTTTGTCATTGGTAGCGGAGGTAGGACCCCTTCGCCGGATCGTAGGCATGAACGCCATGGCTAGCCATGGCTAGCTCAGCAGATTCCACTGGACTGAGGTCTTTCAGCGGTGACTCCGAAGACGCTAAGGAGTACTGACGCAACAAGCAAGCTCCTCACACTGGGGAGACAAACTGTCGGAAACTTCGTGGTGCCTTCGTATACACATTGTTGTCAGGGAAGGCATTGGAATGTGTCGAACGAACATTTGGAGCCCTCCACCTATCAACGTAAGGATGGAGAAAAAGCTTTGTTCGAGCTTTTGGATCAGCGCTTTCCGGAAAATCCGGAAAAAGATGCTTCGGACGAGATGTCCGAGGTATTGACTGAAGTGTTCGCCCTGAGGGCCACTGAAGGAGAGTCGCTCAAGGCTTGGATTGCTCGGGCCACCGAATTGTTTGACAAATGTCAGCGCAAGGTGAGCGTGAACTTCCCGGAGGAGGCAAGAGGCTGGATGATCCTCCATCGTTCTGGACTCACCGACGAGCAAAAGGCAGTGATCTTGGCTCGCTCCCTTGGAGTGTTGAAGAGAGATGAGATTGGTCGCGCAATGCGCTCGCACTATCCCGACTTCATCGTGGGCAAACGTCGTGCAGCTGCAGTGTCACTTCTGGAGGACTCCACACTTGCTGGTTCACTCGACGACCCTGGGGATGAAGAGGAAGAGGAATTCCTCGAACTCGAACAGTTTTTGGCGGAACATCACGCCATGCCTGATGATGCCACCAAGGCATACGATGAACCTGATGTCGCTGAAGCCTTAGCTGTTTCCTGGCGTGAACGCCGAGAAGAAATGGGATGTTCGCAGGTCCTTCAAGGTCGAGATTGAGGAGTTGAAACGTCAAACCAAGTGCAACAAATGTGGTGCTCTGGGTCATTGGCCTCGAGAGTGCAAAGCCCAAGGAAAAGGATTTTCTTCCAAGGGTGCCCCATCCAAAGGAGCTTCGAAAGGGAAAGAGAACGCTGCTGCATTGGTTGTTGAAGAAGATTCATTGCCATGGTGGCTTGTCAGCGATCACCATGGCTTTCTCTGCAGTTGTTGCCAGATAAAGCAGCAGTACCTTCCAGCCCTAGTGTCGAACAGCTGCTTGTGAGTTCACCCGGTTTTGGTGTCCTGGACTCCGGTTGCGGCCGCTCTATCATTGGCGCGGACACGTTGGCTGAATTTGAGGAGTTGTGGAAGGTCCGGCAGATGCAGATTCCGGTGCCTTTTGCGGAGATCAATCATTTCAAGTATGGCAATGGCCATAGAGAGACTTCACAACAGGCCGTTCGAGTTCCGGTGTGTCTTGGTGGCCGTTCTGGCACGATCAAGGCGGCCATTGTGAAGGGACAAGCTCCCCTGCTGATTTCTCGCAGCGCATTGAAAGCTCTGAAAGCAGTCATCAACTTTGACACCAATGAGCTCACCGCGTTCGACAGTCAAACGGTGGTTCCCCTGACCACCAACCAAGCTGGCCAGTTCACTCGGACTTGCTTGGCTCAAGCCCCTCCACCGACAGCTTTACCGAGGTCATGCTGTCATGCGATGGTTCAAGTGATCCCCTGCCGTGCTCATGTGAGAAAGAGCCGACACCTGGCTCACGCAAAGGCCAAGACGAGTGCTGCCCCATCATCATCTTCCGATGGTAGTTGTGATGCCAGTCAGGACGAGCCGTCGCTGTCTACATGGCGCCGCGTCGATGAACACCTTTCTCATGTGCCCAGCATAGGTAAACAAGGTCCTCGTTGGCCCCATGTCCGTCGTAGGATAGTCAGAGACACAGTGAGTCAGGAGGTGTTGTTTGATGAAGCCATAGATCCACAACTAGGTAAAGGCCGATACAAGCATTCGCTCCCTGCACATGTCGTGAGTTGCCAAACGGAATTTCATTTTGTGCCCCAGGAAGAGGTGCTGCAAGTGGACACTCTGCCAAAACACCAGGTACGTCAGCTAGAGGCCCGCACCAGGGAAGTCTTGGGAGTGGAGTCAAAGTTCACACCATCCTATGTAGAGGGCAAAAGATTCATGGTAGCCAAGGTGTTTTCACCACCACGCTTTTGTCCTGTGCCGGAACAAATGGGTTTTGCTACCAAGTCATATGACCTCGTCAATGGGTATGACTTCCGTCGCTCGGCTGACAGGCGTGAAGTCATGAGTGAGTTGGGTCATACACTACCTGATCTTCTTGTGCTTTGTCCACCATGCACAGACGAGGGTGGCTGGTTCAATTTGAACTCACTGTACATGGATGCCACCGAACGTGCCCGCCGAATCGCTCAGAGCCGGTTGTACAATCGTTTTTGCTGCCAGTTGTTTGACAAACAAGTCAAATTGGGCGGTAGGGCCTTGTTTGAACACCCTGAAGGATCGAAGCTGTGGACATATCCGGAGGTACAAGCCATGGCCAGTCACGATGGAGAGTTCGAATTGATCAGCCAAATGTCCGATGCTGCCAAATGGCTTGGTGATGACCAACTGCCGCCGTCCAAGAAAGCAGTCAAGAAAGGCTCTCAGCGCTTCCCGGACGATGAGAGCCCATTGAACAGTGAGGCCCATGTCAAAGAGACGTTGCCTTCTCCTTACCCCGGATCACGTCACGAGCTGCCATCTTCTGGCCTGCCGGAAGGGATTAGCAGCCTTGGTCACTGGGGCTCCACCGAGGTTCGCTTTGGGAAGTTCAAGGGCAAAGGCATGAGCTACTCGGACCTTTTTCGTTCAAAGTCTGAGGAGGTGCTCTCATACCTCAAGTGGGTTACCTCAAGTGGGTGCGCAGTCGCCGCAACAGTGCCGGTGGTGAGTTGGCTGACCTCGGGTAACTATATCCACCAAGTGGATTTGGAAGAGAAGCGAGCCGATCCCACGATCGGAGAGTTCATCCCCGGCACCAACACTCGCCGGATCTTCAAAGCCTAGATTGGCCTGACAAGAAGGCCTGATAAGGTTGGCTTCCAAAGCACTGTGCACTTCTTTTTGTTAGAGAATAGAAGCAGTGTCGAAAGCAGGCATGAACGCCAGCCGTCCACCGCAAACAGACGTCATGCGCTCGAGGAACGGGTCGGAAAATAGGCGCGCCCCTTTGCTGACGGTCGGAACCGTCCTGTGCGATTTTGTCATATATATAAGCACTGCTGCACTTCATCCAAGCGTCAATGTTTCCCTCTCTCAATGTAGTCAGTCTGGCCATATGCGGGTGAAGCTTGCTCTTGCTTTCCGTTTGTCTTAGTCTCTGTGGAAATGCTGCTTGGGCACTGTACCACCTGTCATTAGTTGCTTTTCAACACCGAGGCATGCTGTTGCCTGACCTTTGACTTGACTTAGCTATTACTTGCGGAACGCAAGTCAAATGAGGACAGGAGGCACAAGTTCCAGAATACATGTCGCGAAGGATCCAGGGGGAGCAGCTGCTTCTGCCTGAATGGCACGCACGCTGTCTTCCTGCCAACACCTCAACAAACTTGACCAGCCCTTCAATCCAGCCTTGGTGCAGGCCTTTTGCCAGTCCCCTTTTGGGGTTTGTTTGAATCTGGTGCAGATCAGCAAAAGGCAAATAACGGTCTTGGATTCACAGGATTGCGGTGCCTGGAAAGGTCCATCTGGCACAACTGTCAGGAAATCCGCTCCCAGGCCATCTACCACGACGCATCTTCATGCGCTTCTGTCAACAGCTTTCTGGGATCGCACATCGCTGGCAGCGCACACCAGAACTGTCACTCTAGTGACCATTCTTAGTGAAGGTTGATTAAGGTGAAAATGCACTCCACTTAGATTCCGCAGCAAACAACTCTTCAGTCAAAAAACATCCCCGCGTCCACAGAAGTAGTGCACCTGCTGGCCTTTGCTAACCCAAGGAGGTGGAAGGTTCCGAGGCCTCACAACGACAAAGTACCCTCCGGCGGCTGTCAACGCGTGCTTTCACGGTGCCGTTTTACAAACTTGCCCGCTTCTAAATCTCCTATCCAATGCTTGAACCATAGTTAAAACACAGTGTACTTTACGCCGACAGTGCTAAAAGCCTAAGAAACTGCACAAGGTAATTAGTTAGCGCGGAAATTTTCAATATGTGCTGCGCTGCTGCTGGCGCTGCTGCTCGTTTCTTGCAGTTGCTGGACTCTTGCTGCTAGTGGATAAAAAAAACATTGTACACAGAGCTTCGGCAAACACGAGGAACAAATGCTTGCCAAAATGTGTCAGGTTTTCTTCTCATCACCTTCAGATCCTTCACCAGGTCTCTGACATGCCCTGATACCGGGCCACAGCCAGCCCCTCATCATCCCTTCACAAACTACCCCAATTGTAATTCCCAGTGAGTGGAGTGGAGTGGAGTGGAGTGGGGAGTGGGGAGTGGGGAGTGGGGAGTGGGGAGTGGGGAGTGGGGAGTGGGGAGTGGGGAGTGGGGAGTGGGGAGTGGGGAGTGGGGAGTGTGGAGTGTGGAGTGTGGAGTGTGGAGTGTGGAGTGTGGAGTGTGGAGTGTGGAGTGGAGTGGAGCGGGAGCGGAGCGACTGGACTGGACTGGACTGGAGTGGACTGGAGTGGAGTGGAGTGGAGTGGGAGTGGGAGTGGGAGGTGGAGTGGGAGTGGGAGTGTGGGTGAATTAGTGCAGGCGGGCAGGCGGGTGGGTGGGTATAGGTGGGTAGGTGGGTAAGTGAGAAGACCAGAACGAGAAGAGAAGACAAATTCCTTGAAGCGAAGAAAATCCTTTGGCAACACACAAACACGCCTATATACCAACACATGGCGGCCATATCATGGAGGACCTAGCGCCGACCTAGCGACCAAGCGCGCATTGCAAAATTAGCGCTAGTAGCCTGCTGGGCTTCTAAACGAAGATCTAAAATGTATGTTGCCAACGAAAACTTTCACTTGGTCCCTTTTGCTGTAGGGACTTTTGAACGCAACGCACATAGAAATAATATCTTGCGGTCAGGACAACAAACGCTGGTGTAATGTTTCAGCAGTCAGGGACAAAATCTACCGGGCTCCTGGCGGTTGCAAGTTCTTTGTGTATTTGTACGAAAGAGCATTGCCCACCGCAGGAAAATAGTTTGCTACACCTTAGCAAGGAAGGAATCCTGAAACAAAAAATAGCAATACTAGTCCAGGACAGAATTTTCCATTGGAGGAGAGCGCCATCCCAACCTCAGCACAAGAATGACCGAGCACACCACAAGCCACAGAGAGTAGCAACAAAATTGTAAGGAGCCTGCTGAGCACGTCCCGCCCCACATCATCTGAATGAAGTTCACACAACCCTTTTGTGGACCAGGACGTGTATAGTCGTAGTTTTCCTGCAGCAGGTTCCCAGTGTTGTTCAGTGTTGACGAGACCCTGTCTTTGCTTCCAAACACAAGTCAAGTCAGATGTCATATTTACCTGCGAAAGGAGAGGGCGAAAGCCAGCGAGAGACCAATATGGTAGTGCAAGACTGGGAGGAAAAAATAGCGGAGCACTTATTGTTGAACGCTTGTAGCTTTCGTGGAGCTTGTATCAACGTGGAGTAGATCAAGATCGGAGCACAGCATGAAGTGTTGAATGTTTTAGGCTTTCTCGATTTTCATGGCGCGGTGCTCTCTGGAGCGTCCCTGAAAGGTGGTCTACTTGAGAATCCGTGTAAAAATAAACGTCAGTGAAGACCAGGAGAAGGATGCCCGAAAGGTGGTTTTTTGGTTGTTTTGAAATGTGTTTCGGGCATCGTGCATCAATGCGAAGCCCTATAAAGAGCAGGGCTAGGAGAAAAAAAGAGGAGAGCACTCATTCTTGAATGGTTGTAGTTCTCGTCGTAGATGAAGATCGGAGCACAGCATGAAGTGTTGAATGTTTTTAGTATTCTTGATTTGCTTGGTGCGGCGCCTTCTGGAGCGTCCCTTGTTGGTGTTCGATTTGAGAATCCGTGCAAAAATAAAATGTCAGTGAACACCAGGAGAATGATGCCCGAAATGGCTTTTGCGGTTGTGTTGAAATGTGTTTCGGGTATCGTGCATCAATGCGAAGCCCTATAGAGAGCAGGGCTGGAGCACCTATAGTTGAAAGCTTGTAGTTTTGTGGAGCTGGTATCACTGCGACTGAGATCAAGATCGGAGCACAGCATGGAGTGTTGAACGCTTGCAGCTTTCTTGCTTCTCCTCTTGCGGCACTCTGATCCCCAAGCTTCTACCTCGCCCAACTGCTCACATTGTTCGCTCCCAGAGCGTTCACTCTTTATTGCTTGGTCCTTCTTGGTATGATCAGAGCTACACAATCCCTATGCCCTGCTCAAGGCTCGAAAATTGTCTCCAGACACATTCATGATGCTAATGATGAAATACGGCGTCCATTGCATCACTCGCATCACCAAGATACATGTTCATTGATTTTCTGCCTCGCTTTGGAGCGCTCTCCCCACCAAGCTCCGGGTTCACCCTCTCAATTGGTGCCTTTTCACGCCCTCCCCCCCCACACCCTTCAACTCACTTCGTTCGCTCTAAGAGCTCAAGCCTAGCCTATCGGCTGGCTTTCGTAGTATAATATATTTATATAAAGCTTGCTCAGCCTGCCTGCTCGCTGTACCACTGGCTCACAATGTGGTCCACTGCAGTTTGATCCCACTTGAGCTCTTTCCTCGCAAAGGCTTGTGTCAAAGACTTGCAGGCCTAACATGATGAAAAACAAGCACGATTCCATGTCCAAATCATGAGTGCACCTCAGATTAGACGCATCAGTCCTGGACGGTCCCAAAGAGTTTTGCCCATGCCGACCATTTAAGCTTTCGACAAAGTTTTTGGGCCTTGTTCCAGCCACTGGCAGGGAGTTCGAACTTGTTCCTGCTTGGTGTCCGGCAGACGCCGTTCAGCTGCTTCGCATGCAAGAGCTTGCATCCTGGCATGCAGGGCCCATCTCAAGCAAGCACAAGGCACACCACATGCGGAGCAGTCCTGGCATGTTCATAACACTCCTCGCTCCAAACCTGTCAGTGGAAGGCTTCGCTATTTTGCTTTGTAAGTCGATCTTTCAAGATGGAGCTGTTGAGGTTCGCCAAGTCACCAATGGTGGTGTCCAGTGAGCTGCGCGCTTTTCGTTGTGAGCCATCAGGACCGCTTGCACCCATGCCTGTGCATACCCTTTACTTTTCTCTGGTAGTGCTGCACCAAAGCAGTATCAAGAGAATTTCTGGTTGTCCTCAGGTCCTTGCCTAGGGCCTAGTGGCCTAGTTCTGTAAAGCTGTCATCTCTGAGCGCTCGGCGGGAGGAGCATTTTTATCATCACCTTCAGGTACAAAGTCGGTCGTAGTAACGGCCAATTTTGGACCTGACACAGGAACAAAAAACAACCTTTGTATTATATATATATATATATGTGTATAAATCACTATAAATCCAACTCATTCAGGCTCGCCTGCGTGGCTCTTTCTAGTAGGAGATTTGCCACCAAACTTTGTTCCCCGTTTCGCGGGAGAGGACGGAGAGCTTTTTGGAGATGCCATACCTCCGGATGTAAAGCTGGCCACCCACTGTGTATTCCAGCGAGTCTCATTTTCTCATCTGATTGCGTTTGTGAGTCATTTCAATATCCTGTGAGCTTGTCAAAACGACGCTGCTAGTTCAGCAGTTTTATCAAACGTTTTCTGACACACTCAGACGGAAACGAGTTCCCAGTGCCTGAATAACCCGCGCATTCATCTCACATCACACAGTCTCTGTTGTGGGCATCTCTGCAGACTTTCCGGATAGTATATAGTGCAATTGAGTTAATGCTCATTGCATCATGTCTTGTTCATTCCACATATTCCATGCTTGCAACATTCATCAAATTTGCTGGGCTAGTTACTTGGGGGTCCTGCGCTGTCCATTGTATAATTGTATAATATATGATGGTTGGAAACCTTCATGACCCAGGCACAAGCACAGAAAGCAAAGCACTACTTGCGGAATACGAATCATGACTGCACAATCAAATAAGCAATTGCCATGTCGTACTTTTTTGGCCAGCGATTCCTGGTCAATGATGTCAGACAATCTGTTGTTTGTCTGCGTCTCTACAACAATGCTCTATGCTTTTGGGTGTATTTTGGAAGTCTGTCTGCTCCTTCGCAGAAAGGTCTCACCCTGTTGTTTGAAGGTACATTAGTCGCTTCCATTGCATGTCTTCTACGTAATTCGATGTTTTCTCTGGCTATCAATAGTATCGAGCAAACTGCGGGGTGTAGACCTGACAAAGCAAGGATCAAATTCTTCGGGTGTCACTCGCTACTCTTGCGAACAGTTGACTTCAACTTGATTCCAGAGTTCGCTAGTGTGTAGCATTCACATCGTATGTGCAGCTAGTTCACATAGTGAAGCCATGCAGTGGACCACATCGTGTGCGACTTTGAAACAGCGAAAGCAGAAGTAACTTCAGCTGTTAGTCTGTTCGAAATCGCTGCCGCCTGGTTCATCCCAGCATAGTATGCAGGGGCTGGTGCCGATAGAATCGGGTTGGGCAAAGCCGCCATAGGCGCCATAGAGGACATTGGCTGAAGTGGAACTTGCACAGTTGGCCCCTGGATCTGCTCTCCCACTGTCACACTTCATGTCACTTTGCACATCCAAGACACCAATGCTTCGACATGAAATCATGAAACTTCAGCAAGCAACACAGCAACCGCCTGGACCGAAAGGCCCTGTGGAGGTCTCACACCTCGAACATGCCAAAAGTAAATAATCTATTTGCCGGGTTGATGATCTGACTTGTGATATGACTAGACTATCTTTCCAAAGCATAGCCTTGCTCCATCAAAAGCGACTGAACGGGATGGTCTCCACATTCCTTCATTTCATCAACCTTTGGCACAAAAGCGGAATGTTCCAAAGTCCAGTTGCTGAACAAAGAGGGAAAATGAGTTAAAGTTGCAAAGTCGGAAAGTCCACTCAGTGGCCGCCGAGCCTTGACCCCTCTGGAGGCTCTATGGGAACGTGCTTTTGAGCCTGTCTAGCGCAGGACAGCTGGACAATGCTGGACACGCTGGATATGCTGGCACAGCTTTGTCAGAGCCTTCTGATTTGGACCACAAAAAGACTCCAAGCCCAACCGCTAAAAGGCCGAATGCGCCTCCACCTCAGATCGCAACATGCAAAAAAGGATGTCTTTTGACATCTAAAGAATAAGGCTTATAGGTACGTTAAGCTTCTCACAATGCTGCCTAGATGCACAAGACCCAACTCATGGGAAATCCAGAGCTCGGTGGCGAAGCATCGACCACCGTTTCATCACTTGCAACGACACGTTGTGCCTGAGGTATGACCTTTACATCTGGGTACTTCTGCAACGGGTTCGGCTCTGGAAGCGCAATGTTACTGCCTTTCAGCATATGTGTGCAATCCTCCGGACCACTCACCGCTCCAGCCACATTGGGCGTCCGGATGGCATTCGTACCCAGGAGCCAACAATCCTGGCGTCGCCATGTCTTGAAGATACGCAGAACCGATAGCACTATTCCCCTACTAACAGGATGACTCCTTTTCACATAGACTGCCTCTTTGATTGCAAACCTATTTGTTCCGGCTTGCAACTTTTGCCGTTGTAATCTGAGGTTTGTGGTCCTTTGAAAAACCTCTTGGAGAGGATGCAATCAATCTGGAAGGTAAGCTGTATTCTTTCAAGCAAAGCTTCGGCCTTTTCCCTGTAGTATGTGGGAACATGCTGGAACTGCCGCGGCCTTAGATGCCTCGTAATAGGTGAAAAAGGAGCAATCTGGATTCGTCTCGCAATACATCTGGCACCTTGGCACTCGTTCGAGCAGAAAGTCTGCCAAACTGGATCTGTGTGTCCAGTTTGTCGGACTGGCTTAGGGCTTAGGGTTTCCAAGCACGTGGGCAGGGCATCTAAACACTACTAGTACAGCCAAGTCTTCGCTTTAATGCTTCATGCCCAGAACAAGCTTATCTCAAGGGGCACTGGGTTCTTCCACTACATGCAAGTACATCAAAGTCTTAAGCCGAACTGTTTTAAAGCCGCTGCACAAACAAATATATATATATATATATATGTGACTTTGTGACTACAGAACAAGAATTCCATAATTATGTTACATACAAGAATTGAAAACAAAAAAACTCGAGAGCTTCTGTCGAAACAAATCTTGACATCATGAATGGGTATAGATGGAGCAGCATGGGAAGAACTGATGTATGCGAGCTGAAAATCTTGTATGATCAAGGAGTGGCCAGAAAAGGTGCAGTGGCAAGGTGTGTGAGCCACACACATTTCAGGCCAACCCGCTCCTTCCCCCCTCCCACAACTACCCACCCCGGGTTGGCTGACAGTAGGTTGAATTGACGCAGAGCAATCGACCGGGGGAAGGATATGATGTACTGTACTCTTGAATTGAATAAAGAACATCTGGAAGGAGGTCATCAAAATGCTGCAGAAGAAAAGCTCCTTCAGCACATGATGTTCTGAGGATTTAATATGCTTGCATGGTAACTCATAAGGCTTTAGCTGCTGAAACAGCAAACAAAGCTTTTGGCACCCGACATTGTTGACACGCAAGTGCTTGGAAATATAAAGACCGACAGCTGCAAACGTTTTCTCCAAACACACGTGGTGCTGGAAGATATCCGTGTCAAAAACAGCACCTTTATCACACACAGGTGGCCAATGTCTTTGAATAAAATGGATTCCCTATCACATCATGCCCTTGCTAACTGACGTTGATTCTGTTGCTTCTTGGTAAAAGCAACTGTCGTCTCTGAATTTCTTGGAACCTGAAGCTCGACCTTATGAAAATATGTTCTTCCTGGTTTTTCCCCGAATGATTGCACTGAGTGACTTATGCATGATATGTCTTGACCACAGATTTGATATGTATATATATAATATAGGAGTGAGGCATAGTGTCTCTCAAGTGAAATTCTTAAGAACAATTGTTGTGTGCTAGAGAGAGAGAGAGAACACCAAAATCAGTTTCTGCGGCACTTCCCCAATTCTCTGACTCTGGAATGAATACAGCCGAATATCGCCAGAGCATCATACGGCTTCCCTCCATTCCTCTTTGTCAATGAAGGATCCTCCCAATGACGAGGAAGTGCAGTACTTGCAAATTGCCTACTTGAGGAAAACTGCACGATGAAATAGGGTCCTTGTATGCCACTCCTACTTGGGCACATGGGGGGATTGCGCTCTCCACCACCTCAAGTCACTGCCAGAACCACTCGGCGTCTGGCGTCTGTGCCAGTAGCAACAATTCCTGACTGAGCTCTTAACCACTAAGGTGACCATTGCCAGTAAATTCACCATCATGGCACTTCCAGCGGCCCCTTGGCCCTCACATACGTAAAAGAATTCGTCTTTTGAGCCCACAATGCTCCAGCTTCAATCGCTTTCCAGGAGCAAGGCAAGATTCATGAATCCTTCCACTGGTTTTGGATAATCGGATAGTAGACTCATACAGGTACCTTGCGGTCGCTCGGTCTCTTACAACCGCCAACCAGATCCAGAATGCAAAATACTATGCAGTGTTAGACAAACAATCCAGGGGGTTCTAGAGTCACCGGGCTCCAAGGAGGCGAAAGGTTCGCAAAGGGTTGAGGGTTCCAAGGTTCCAACTGAAAAGTTGCTATCAAAAAAATATTACACCACCGTAGACCCCCAACAGGTGGGACAACAACGAAGCATTCTCAAGTCCACTTTTTGAGACATCAACAAGAAGGGAGACAAAAGCAAACAGAAGGGAGACAAGACGGACACAATGGCCAACAAGAAGGGAGACAAGAATGGAGACAAAGAAAAAAGAAGGGAGACAAGACAGGCACACTGACCAACCAGACGGGAGACAAGACCGGAGACAAAGGGATACAGAAAGGAGACAAGACGGACACAGTGACTAATAAGAAGGGACACAAGACCGGAGACAAAGGGAGGCAGAAGGGAGACAAGGTGGACACAATGATCATTGTGTCCGCCTTGTTTCCCCTCTGTCTCCCTTTGTCTCCGGTCTTGTCTCCCTTCTTGTGGGCCAACAAGAAGGGAGACAAGAAGGGCGACGAAAGGAGAGAGAAGGGAGACAAGACGGACACAGTGACCAACAAGAAGGGAGGACAAGACCGGAGACAAGAAGGGAAGACGGACACAGTGACCAACAAGAAGGGGCACAAAGGGAAACAGAAGGGAGAGAAGGCAGACACAATGACCAGAGACAAGACCGGAGAGAAGGGGAGACAGAAGGAAGACAAGAAGGGAGACAAAAGGAAGACAAGGCGGACACGATGACCCAAGACAGAAGGGGGCAGGCGGACACGATGACCAACAAGAAGGGAGACAAGAAGGGAGGAAAAAGGAGACAAGGCAGACAAAGGGAGACAAGAAGGGAGACAAGGCGGACACAAAAAGGGAAACGAAGGGAGACAAGCCGGACAAGGGAGAGAGAAGGGAGACAAGACGGACACAGTGACCAACAAGAAGGGATGACAAGACTGGAGACAAGAAGGGAAGACACAGTGACCAACAAGAAGGGGCAAAGGGAGACAAGCCGGACGGAAGGCGGACGCGCTTTCCGGCAGCAAGGGGGACACTCTTAGAAAGCGTTGAGAACCCCTAACAGTAACCTGTTTGGGGAAGTACAGAAATCAGCTGGGAGACAAATGAGTAGAAATGCTGGAAAGGGGAAAAGGGCGGATGCCAGCAGTGCAGGCACCGAGGCTGGGAAACAAAAGTAAGCAAATCACATGGGAGACAAATGAATAGACATGCTGCCAGCAGAAAAGGGCGGACACCAGCAGCGCAGGCACCGAACCTGGGACAAAAGTAAAGAAACCACTTCTGAGACACATGAATTGAAATGCTGCATGGCCAGCGAAAAAGGGCGGACACCAGCAGTGACAGAAAGGGCGGACACATCTTAAGAAAGATATGAGAAACCCTACGTAACGGTAAACTGTTTGGGGGGCAAATGGAAATGTTGCATCGCCATTGAAACAAGTGCGGCGCAACACAACCAATCAACCAGGCACAACCAATCAACCAGGCACACCACATTTGCCGATCTGATGTAAGTATATAGATGAAGTTCCATGAAGCATATAAACTGCAGAGACATCGCACATCATGTAGAGTTAGAACGAGTAACAATATACATAAGTTCTCTATACATATATATATAATACACATGAAATTTTTATATCATCTAACGCGCTGAAGTTCAAGTATTTGCAATCCTGTGGCGCTTTTCAATCGATGATGGCGCTGCTTTGATCGCTCTTTGGCAATCATTGTTTTCAAATCAGCACAGTCTTGAACCTTCCCACGCCTGTTGTCACGCGGCTTTGAAGCAAGCTAACAAGTACAAAGTGCTGCGCTGGCAAACGCGGCGCTGTTTTCTTCACGCCGAGTCAGCATCCCCACTCACGTCGCAAGCCTGAAAGTGCTGCGCACGTCTTTGCTCTGCACTCGCTTCTCCCGCACTGCCTGGAGTTTCTCATCGGCTTCAATCTTCACTTGTCGTCTCTGCTCCTTTGGAAACGGGATGGAACATGAATTCACCACACGCACTGCTTCATCAAACTCCCTCGACACCCTTCTATTTCCCTCTCTCTCTCTCTCTTTCTTTCTGCCGTTGCTCTCTCTGCATGTAACCACATGTTGGTCGCATTTTCACACCGTCCCTTGGCGGTCGCAACCTTTTGCTCCACAACAAACTCTACGCCTGCTGACCGGAAACATTCACAAGCATGTTGCGAGGAACTGCGCAAATGTGTTTTAAAGCATCTTTTGACACTCTCGTCGCGCCCTTTCGCGTTGGCATTCTGCTTGCCACTTCTGTTGGGCTGTCGGCGGTCATGTGTTTCTTGTTGGATCGCATACTGTCCTGATCCAGCCCCACCCATCACTGTCTTCACAATGGCTCCCAGGTCCTCGGGCCTTGCGTCCCGTCATCTTTGTTGCATCATCGTAAATCACTGAGGTCTTGTTGAACAGCGTTAACAAAACTCACCCAACTTCATGGTAGACTACTCGCGTTGAGGAGGAGCTGTTGTCTCAGAGCACGTTTCCTCAAACATAGTGCGTTGTAGCAATGGTGTTGAAAAGAACTTCAATTTATACAGCGGTAAAGCATGTGTTTGTTTGCGTGTTCATCGCGCTGCCCATGCGCGCTGTACACAGTTCTGCTTTTTGGTTTGCAAGGCGCCATACCATGTGGTGAAGTTGTTGGTGTTTCAGTGTTTCATTGCTCCTCATCGTCACGTTTGGTCATCGAGCCCAGCTGCCAGTAGAGTGTTTCAGCGCACACGCGCTGTGTGAAAAATGTCTGCTCTGCATCTGCACTATGTTTGCGTGCCAAAAAAGCGCTCAAGCTCGATGCGCTTGCCTTGTTCCAGAAGGCACAGGGCTGCTGGCGTCCAAGCTGGACGAGTTCAAACCATCACTTGTTGGACAAGCCGTGCAGATAGAGACTGGAGCGAGAGCGGGCGGTATCACATCTCCAGTTGGCTGGTCGAGCAATCAAAACGCCATCCTGGAACACCTGCTCAGGATGGGCACGTTGCGCACATTCGTCCATCCTCTTGATTCAACGCGCTGCTACCAACACATCTTCATTCAACTCCACAGCTAACTGCGGCCAGACTGCAACGGCTTGACAATGTCAACAGCTTTTTACAGTACAGTAACTGTATAGCTGTAGGAGACTTCAACTGCAGTCTCTTTCAAGCTCTCCTGCACGTTGGACTGACGTCGCTCAAAGCTATAGCATTGGTGGTGGACCGCTCCACGCTGACCGAATGCAGCAACTTGATGTGATCCCAGCACATGGTCTTCGTGCCACCAAAAGCCGGCACGCTGACCGGTCCGGGCATCTGGAAGTCCGAATGGCGCTGCTTGAGCCTCAGGCAGCATTGTTCGCTGCGCTCGTATAGTGGTGCCACCTCGAACGACTTAATACAGTACAACACATGAACCAAGTTCATGTTGTACACAGGATGGGGTTGCTTTCTGTAGATGGAACCACACGTTGGTCAATCTCTGTGCGCGACTATCTCGCGCAATGGCATTGTCCTTGCGTTGAAGCAGCTGTTCACGTCGCGTCATGCGGGTTGCTTTCACCTGAATGCTGTCAGGTTTATCAGATCCCTGGCTCTCTTTACTGTCACATGCCCTTAGAATCCACACGCCTCCTCCAGCTCAGTTCCAAGGTCAAGGAGGCCGTCGCAAATCCTTCAAGCTTGAACACTGCGCACAGACTGACATTCCAAGAGAGCTTTCTGACCTACGACTGATCTGCAGCGCTCCATCTGGCTTTGCCAAGCGTCGCCTTCAACAGTGATGCTTGTGTTGCTCTCATTCATAGGTACTTCCAAAGGCTGGGTTGCATGCGCGTTGGCAGACATGGTCTGCACGACTTCAGGGTCCTTGTTGAACAAAGTGTTGAACGAATCAACTAGTCACGCTGGTACCTCGATCTTGCGCAAATCTTCAAAGCTGAGGAGCAAGCTGAGAGCCATTCTTGGATTTTTGCTGCAATCTGGTCTGGCTCCTAGCATCAAAATACACAAGCACCTGCATGTTCTAACTTCCGTATCTGGGCCTCATCGGCTATGTAAGCACCCGCTCCATTGTCTGTGACCTTCACATTGAAAATTGCGCTCGCCTTGAGTTGACAGTCTACTGAGGTTGGGACGTAGCTAATGTTGCCTTCCTCTTGTCCGGGAACGAAGGCAGTGAGAAGGCATGGCAAGCCTAATGCTCTTCAAGAACAAAAGGAAGCAGGGAACCAGAGAGATTATCACAGAAGCCCGGAAGAAGGTTGCGATCTAATGAAGATCAAAATGACATCAGAAAGGGTCGCGCCTTTGATCATGGCTTCAGCAATTGATCCTGGCCCGGCCTGAGCGGTTCCAGGCCCCTCACGCTCGGATGCCTGTTGCACTGGAACTGCCGAGGCCTTTGTCACTAAACAATCAGCGGCGGTCATGTACCTGAATTGTTTACATCTTCAACACAAGCCAATATAACAAGGATGCTCGCTCGCACTGGTCTATGTTCTTCACAAAGCCAAGGATAAGGGGCTGAAACAGCCACTCCTGGTGAAGTGTTCACGCAAGCACAAAGCTTTCAGATGGTCTGGACGTCAATGTGAATCTGCAAAGCAAAGCCGCGCCCCAAGTTGTCGAGACATCCATCGTCTCCTCAACACAAAAGGCACTGGAAAAGGTGCGAAATTACAAACGGTCGACAAAAACTGCGTCCAAGCAACTCAGACAGAGATTTCCGGACCTCCGAAATGCAGCACTCTGTCAAAACCAAGCCAAAGTGATGGGATGTACCAGCAAAAATGGATGTATGAGAGAAGGTGCGGTTGTGAATGATACAAGAAAATCTTGCCAAAAAGCAATCACCGTGGATGACGAACAAAATCTTTCTCCGAGTGGATCTGCTGTGCCAGGTGGTGACATCCTGGACGCTACACGCATCCTTATGAGGTATATATACATATGAAAAAAACATATAATGCTCCGTCCATCCCTCCGTCCGTCCGTAGGTGTGTAGGTTGATAGGTATGGTGGGTATGGTAGGTCTGGTAGGTATGGTGGGGGGTGGGGTAGGTAGAGCGTGGGGTAGGGTAGGGTAGGGTAGGGTAGGGGTGGGGGCAGGGGTAGGGGCAGGAGTAGGAGTAGGAGGGGGGAGGGGTGAAAGAGTGACTAGGGCGTACACGGTTGAGGTGCAGACCACTAGTGTCTTTTTCTACGCAGAGCCTTATCCTCTTGAGCCTTATGGCAGTCAAGCATGGACACACTAGATAGGCCACTGGAGTGGAACCTGTACAAGTAGGCCTCTACATTTCAGCAGGCACAAAACTCATGGCCACTCCAGCCTATTGCGTATGTCGCACACTATTTTTCCACCGTAAGGCTAAAACAGTCCAGCAAGCTCTAGTAAGCTTAAAAAGGAAACTACGGTGCCCTGTACTTACCAATTCCAGTGTGTGGCACACTATAGTAAAGGTAATCTCAAGGTATACTAGATACAGTGAGGGAGCGATAGCTTACTCACCTCAAATACAAAGTCAAAGACAATGTATCTCGGCTGGAGACTGTATCGTTCACCGGCGAAGATACCAGTACCGGCGCTCAATAGCCCTTAAATAGCCAGAGCTGTCAATCTTTCAGAAAATTCTAAATTCAAAAGGAAAGCGGCTTCTTTTGCACAGAGACCTATAAAAGCAGTAAACGACACCCGCGTAACGAAAGAACTAAAATTTCAAGACCGCACAAAATGCAATGAATTAAAATGCCTTGCAAAATGCAAGGAGCGTGAATAATTCGGTCCGAGGAATAGTCTTCTCGAAAAGTGGTCTCGGCCGCTTCCATACACAGGACTTATACCAAAAATTTGAACTGCATCAAAAGGACTCTCTCACATTGATACCAAAATTCAGCCAAAAACAAAAAGGAAGGAGATACCGGCAAATCTATGTACAAAAATCTTGCACTACAATTGCAAATTCATAAAATGACTTAATCATCAACCATAAATGGTTGTCCATTAGAGGTCACTTCAAAAGAGCGGCTATGGTAGATATCATCAGTTCTGTAAAACTGTCCATACCTACCTGCAGATAATACCCGTTTAGTAAAACTATATTTATCTGCATGCTAAAGCTTAAAACTTCAGCCTGGCAACTTAAAGTCAAGCCTGGAAGCAAAGTATCAACTGTAATCAGAAGTATCTTCACTTCCTAGCCATCATTTAAGATTCAGCCTCCGCTCTGAGTTTCTGCCGCTGCAGTCGATGGAGCTGCTTGATCAGAAGTTGGCGGCCTTCCTTTCCTTTTATTCTCCTTCTGTCTCTCCTTCCTCCGCAAGTTAGCCTCTCGAAGAGTCTCGCCCAAGCGATAAAGCTTCCTGTCCCCAGATGAAAGGGAAGCTGGTCTGAGTGAAATAAACATTGGGCCATGACTGTCATCGTCAGAGGGTCTCGAGCACATAACCTCCGTGTCAATCATAGCAAAGTTCTCTGAAAAAATTACAGACGAACTCCTTCGTGCTCACTGTGGAATTTGTATATTCCTCTTCACTCATTGAATGACCCCATTCAACAATGGTAGACAAACACGTATCGCCAAGCTTTGATCCCTGGTACATTTCTTTTTCTTCTGTAGAGTATTCTTCCCAGAGTTTCTCAAAGTAAACTTCACACTGCTTGAGGACATGTGAAGATGAACTGTAAAATGTTCTGGGAATAGGTGCTTTGATACCAGGATCTGCTGCTACACGGGCTTCTGAAAACCTGCGGATCCAATGCTGCATGGTGCTGTAATAATAGTTAGCCATTGGCTGCCTTTTGTACCCAGACATTCTGTAGGCCAAACTATTTGCATCACCAGAAATGATGTCCACCTCATATACAAAACACTCATAAAGCATCAATGCTGTCTGTTCTCCTGTCAATAGGTGGGCATCCACAGCACGGTGTGTGTCAACATGATAATTACAGACTCTGATGGTATGCATGTTCGCTCGAGTAAGTGGAACACGCTGGTCCTTAGGACCATAGTCCTCAAATTCAAACTCTGCATCCTTGAAATCTTGACGAGGCCTTGTTTCTCCAAAACAAATCTCATAGATAGCCCAAGTTACATCACGCTGTTGACAGTGACCAAGGTCTTGGTCATGTCCAGCAATGACCTTGACATAGCCATCTGGTGCAATTCTAGCCATCACTGCAAGATTCTCCCAATCATTGAAACAAACTGTCCAATTCTTTTGCTCAAGAAAATCCTTGGCAGGAACAAGGAGATGAGCTTCCTGGAGAATCACGACATGTGCACGTAAAAAGAAGAGCATGTTGAAGAAAAGGTTGTTTTCAAATTGCTCATATTGAAGTGACATGTCACTCTGTTTGCGTGGCTTCATTGCACGATCAAGTCCTTGGAGAAACTTTGGTGTGGTGTATTTCTGACCACGAACCATGTTGCCATAGTTCCAGGATAAAAATGTCAACGACTCTGAGCTGGCCAATAAGTTAGTTCCATATTGTTCTTCTATTCTTCCTTTGAGGAACCTTTTGCACAGCTCTTCATAGAAGGTGACATAGTCCCAACTGGGTCCCTTGGGACCATGTGCTTCCAGTTCTTCTCTAAAATGTTTCTTTGTAACCTCCAAATCTGCTCGAGCTTGTTCTGCCCTTTCAAGGGCCCTTGGATCGACCTGATACTTGTCATCCAAATAGATGATGCGGTCATCATTGATGAAAAATCTCTTCAAATCATGCTCTGAGCTGTCTTCATAACAATCAGGTGGAGGTACTGGACAGATCTTTCGAATGGATCGAACAAAGTCGTCCTCGTTGATCATTGACTGATAGTGAGGATGGGAAATCTCACCTTTTCTGAAACAAACATGGTTCAACAATCTCGCGTGAGTTTCCCTGAAGCATTGTTGATAAAAGCCAATACCTGGATCTCCTGTAAGCTCTCCAAACAACCTCAAAGGTGAAGTATGCAACTCATAGGTATTGTCAACATCCGCTGTATCTGTATCAACAACTACTTCAGATGGAAAAGATTCTTGGATTTCAGCCTCCAATTTCTTCTCTCCATCATCCTCTCTGACCTCTCTTATCTTCTCCACCGCCTTTTTCTTCTCCTCAAAGGTTGCATCATCCTGAACTTCTTCATGAAAATGAGGATCAGGAATTTTATTTAGGCGGCTTTTCTTAGATTTCCGCAGACTTGAAGTATCATCAAGGTTAGCATCATTCTCACCTGATGGTAAGTGCGATGCAGCTGAGTCCTCACCTATCTCTCTTGACAGAAAGTGTGATGCTGACTCATCCTTGGCTTCCTCCTGGTCCACTTCCATCTTTGTGTCCTCTGAAGGAAAAACACCTGCATTCTCCTCAAAAACTTCTTCATCTTTTACGAGTTCAACTGCAGGATCTTCTTCATGGACTTCCTCTTCCATATCTTCACCTTCCATAATCTTCATACTACCAGTATAGATCTCACCAGTGATAGTGGAGACTCTTGTGTAAGGAGGAACTTCTTCACCTGCCTCAAAAGCTTGTTCTGCGACATCCTTGGTGAGCAAGTCCTCTACAAGATTTTCTCCCATGGTTCTTGGAAGAGATTCTGAGGTCTCAAAATAATCCGTCCTCTCTGAACTGAAAAACTCCGTTGCCTTCTCATTGTCCTTTTTATCCTTAACAAGATGAGTAATCTTCACTGCTTCTCCCTGTAACACCTGATCACCTTCTCTATACTTGTTGACAATGGAGCACCATACTGGCACATTGTCATCATCAAAATCAAGCTCCATATTATCTGCCATCAAGTTTGAGATGTTTTGAGCTGCCTGTTCTTCTTCTTCCTCACGTTCTCTGGCAAGCTCCTCATCCTTCTGGATCTTGAAGATACCCTTCAGGATGTTTTGTAGTACCTTTAAGTTCAGCTTCGATGATGGCTCAAACGTCCCTGAACTTACAGGCTCAACTACAACACGAGAGCAAGAAATCGCCTCCAAAAACTTGGAATTGTATTGGCGTTCAAACTCTTCCTTCTTGATCATCTCATACAAGGGATCAGAAACTGCAACACGCGCCTGAACATATTCACGAAGTTGATAGCATGCATGTTGCACAAATCTGCTGTTGGGGTTGTGAAGAAAACTCTCTAAATGGTTCCTGTCACGGTCAATCAAATACCACACAACTCTTGCAGAAAAACGGAATTTCTTGAAGTTCATAGCAAAATGTGTATGATACTTCTCTGGATCCTCTTCTGCATATAAGGCAGCCTCTGAAGTCTTGTAAACAGGGAGATTTGTGAGTGGATCCAAAATCATAAACTCTTCCCACAAGATCGAATGCTGAAGAACCCACCTGGGAAGCACCTTGATGAAAAAGTCACAAACAAGTTCAGACAAAAGGTGCATGACACGGCCAATCTCTTCCTCCTGCTTGAAACGATAGTGCAATTTGGCAAATAAGGGACTGTTAAATGCTTCCTCCACTGAGTTGCCAAAATTATCCCACTGAGGTTCTGGAATACCAAAGTTCCAACCCAGCAATTTGGGATCTCTGCACATATCCAAGAAACTTGTAAGTTCTGCAGAATAAAGGCCATGGTCTGTCAGAATTTCAGCCCAGCGGCGTCCATTCTCCCAAGCACGGATGAAGAAAAACTGTTGGTATCCAGTTTGTGCCAACTCCATCCACTGAAAAACTCCAGGTTCAAAACTGGGTGCATACGTCTTGGGGTCTTCCTCTGTTCCATA